GACAACATCATTTGCAAGATCTTCATAAGAAACATCAGTATGAAGATCTCATAAGAATCATTCAGTAGGAAGATCATCATAAGACAAACTTCTGTAGGGAAGATTCATCATAAGACAACATTCAAGTAGAAAGATCATCATAAGACAACATTCCGTAGGGAAGATAATCATAATAAGGGACAACATTCAGTAGGATGATCATCATAAGACAACATTCAGTAGAAAGATTCTCATAAGACAACATTCAGTAGAAGATCATCATAAGACAAATTCGTAGGAGATCATCATAAGAACAAACATTCAGTTGCAAGATCATATAAGACAACATTCAGTTGCAAGATAATCTAGACAACATTCAGTTGCAAGATCATCATAAGAAACATTCAGTAGGAAGATCATCATATACAACATTCGTTGCAAGATCATTCCCACGCCCCCCCAACCGTAGGAGATCATCAGAAGGACAAACTTTCAGTTGCAGATCATCATAAGACAACCATTCAGTTGCAAGATCATCATAAGGTCAAACATTCAGTAGGAAGATCATCATAAGACAACATTCGTAGGAAGATCATCATAAGAAACATTCAGTAGGAAGATCATCAGTAAGACAACATTCTGGTTGCAAGATCATCATAAGGAAACATTCAGTTGCAAGATCATCATAGCACCATCCCCCCCGTTGCAAGATCACTCCGCACCCCCACAACCCGTAGAAGATCATCATAAGACAACAATCATAGGAAGATCATCTATAAGGACAACATTCAGTAAGGGAAGATCATCATATGACTACTTTCAGTGGAAGATCATCATAAGACACATGCAGTAGGAAGTATTCATAAGACAAACATTCAGTAGGATGATTCATCTTAAGACAAATTCAGTAGGGAAGATCATCATATGACACTTCAGTAGGAAGATCTTCATAAGACAACATTCAGTTGCAAGATCATCATAAGACAACATTCAGTTGCAAGATCATCATAAGACAACATTCAGTTGCAAGATCATCATAAGACAACATTCAGTAGGAAGATCATCATAAGACAACATTCAGTTGCAAGATCATCATAAGACAACATTCAGTAGGAAGATCATCATAAGACAACATTCAGTAGGAAGATCATCATAAGACAACATTCAGTAGGAAGATCATCATAAGACAACATTCAGTAGGAAGATCATCATAAGACAACATTCAGTTGCAAGATCATCATAAGACAACATTCAGTTGCAAGATCATCATAAGACAACATTCAGTAGGAAGGTCAACTATAGTGATAATATAGCATTTATTGTGGTGGAGACGGAAAAACAAAAATAGAAAAGCCAGATACAGCGATTGATAAACAAAGAGGTCGACTGTACGTCATTGTAGGAGCTGCCAGATATCACCGGCTCTTCAACACGCAAGTTATACTTTTGTATCAGTCAAATCACATATTACTCGGGTAGATAATTTCCAGTAGATCCTTCATGTGTTAGCTCAAATCACCGACCAGTATGTTTTAAATAAGTGACCCACTGATCAGAGCAGATCGACTGGTCCGAACCCTTGACTGGTCCGAACCCTTGACTGGTTTCAAACAGTTTCGTTGGACAATAAAGCAGACTGTAAACGGATGGGGTTTGTAGGCGCCCTTATAAACACAAACATTAAAAATCAGGAACGTGACGGTAAGCTGTCCAATATACAAAAAGAGTTAGAAACAGAAATACAAATAGCTAGAGCTTCATTTAAGGTTATTAATATAATATTCAAGAGGTTGCTAGTAGACTTGCAGTAAATCAACCATTCAAATCATTATGAAGCTGTGTGTAGTCTGTGGTCAGTCAAAGAAACGGGCTACCACATGGATAAATTGTCATTTTTGTGGAAATTGGTGTCACGCTCCTTGTGCAGATATCCCAGAACTAGCTACAAGCAGTATTAAAACAGAGAAGTGTTTTTGGGTATGCCCAAATGAGGAAAATCTGTGGACTAAAATCACAAGGGTATTAAAAAGAGGATAACATCAAAGCTGCTTTCATAGAAAACCTGGAAGCTTTCTACAACAGATGGGAACATAAAAAGTCCGGGCTGAATGGTACTGCCCTTGATACTGGCCATGTAGTCACAAACTGTAAGGCTGGAGGTGATGTCCTGGTAGTCAGTAAATGTGGGGCTGATAGTGCTGTCCTGGGAGACAGTAATGGTGAAGCTGGAGGTGCTGTCCTGGGAGACAGAAATGGTGAAGTTGGAGATATTGTCCTGGGAGACAGTAATGGTGAAGCTGGAGATTTTGTCCAGGTAGTCGGGAATTATACGCAGGAAGGAATACATATAAATTGACCTCATAGAGGACAGGAGCCATAGTAGGGAAACAAGTGTAGTCAAAGATAAGATAAAACCAATATTGCAAACCAGAAATACCGCAGGAAATAGCAAACAAGAGGACTCCAAAGCAATAGTGAGGATAAATTACCAAAACAACTGGTGGGCTCCCTTTTGGGCTAAGGAGGTAGGGAAAAAGACGGGAAACATGCACCCAAAAGGGAATAAGCACAGAAACCCCAAAGGGAAAGGAAACCAAAGCCCCTGTTTTC